TGTACAACTCAGCTAAAATATCCGGTTGTCGTATAAGTGCACTTGCCCCATGCGTACGGATATCTGGGTGTGGAGTTATGCGTCTTTTTATAGTCCTCACACCGGAAATAATAAGCAGTTAATATTGTTAACAATACTTTGCTTTACCGAAATGGAAGCGATGTCTGAAGCCGAGGCTGTCAGGCCCATGGCAACAATTTGTTTTTTGAGGCACCTGCTTCCCCCTTGAGGCGCATCGGGTCGGTAATAGCGCAACATCACCCACTTCGTTTCGACGATTCTGGCGCACTTTACCGTGTCAAAATCGGCCTACCCGTTCGTCCAAACATAATTTTCTTAGCAAAGGCCGTCACGGCTGTTACGGATGTAGTTAACTATGTATCATAGCTTTCATTATGATAACAGTAAAGAAGAGACATCAAATATTCAGAATGTCTCTATAACATATGATAGATAAGTGCTCTAATAAGGATGGGTTTTGACACTTCGTAAATTTTGTCGAAATTTTCCAAACAAGAAGTTTGTGTGTAACTGTGCTTATAAATCTGACCCTGTTAATTTACGGTTTCCGGTTATTTTCAATGAATATGTTTTCCATGGATAATTGCGGATCAGCAGCACGCTAATAGAATCAGCTGGTTAGATTTTGGTGTCGTGGCAGTATCTCCGACTCCACTAAATGTCGACACTCCCTGGCTGCGGCCACGTAATGCTTCAAATGTACAGTTAGAAGTTATTAGTTATTGAAAACCATTAAACAGTTCTCGGTGCTTCTTACCGAGCATGACAACATTAAGTGAATTACAAAGATCCAGTAGGGAACGCGCTCATCCTACCGACGCATACGTCGCAATCATACTAGCGCTGTCACCTTCGGTCTATCTTTGCTAAAGTGTTATGGTACCTTTATTAAGTATCATCGTGTGAGTACAAACTAAGTACCAAAAGAAAACAACATTTATAACAGAAATACTTTGCTGAAGGCTTCGTCGAAGCATTTACCTTCAAGCAGACTCTCGAGCAGAAATGGCTACAGATTTAGATTTAAAATTATCGCACTACGGTAAATGCGCTGTGAATTAATGAGCATGGTACAAAACTAAAATGCCAGTGCCTAATCTATCGTATTCTGTTGCTACCGAGTAGTTATCTATCTGTACAGTACATTAAAGTTATCAGTTCACAACTGACAGTAAACTTAGGAAATCATTTTCGTCTACCACAAAATACCAACATTGTATTCACTTTTCTCGTTAATATTCAGTGTTAAGCTTTATACCCGTTTTCTACCAATTAATTTACCCAAGGGTAACAACGCTGCTGCCCAGAAGTGTCGGGGAAACTTTCGCCGCCGTCTCGCCAATCCTAGTCATAAAGTGTGAAGCCATTACAGTGATTTGAGAATATTATAATGCGAAGAATTTGCTCGAAACCCAAAATTGCACAAAACTGAAAGCACTTAGGAGTTCTGCAGGTTTATCTAATTTTTGAGGAATTTCTGCGAGCCTGCAATTAATTAACCACAACCGATACTTTTCTGTTTTATAACCATCGGGTTGGATTTGCTGGGGTGACCTTTGCGAGCGGCGTATCCGATAAAAACAGATCTCTCGGATTGGTTCTTGCGTAAATATGTGTTTTTCCCAAATAGCTAACGTCAAAATTTAATGTTGAATGCTCTGTGCACGCGCGGCAAATTTAGTTGAGTAGTTGTGCATGTTAGCTAAAAAAGTGTTTCGAGCCTTTACTTGACCATGGCCAGGTATGCGCTTGAAGCAAAAGGGTACGGTGTCTCCAGTTTGCGTATACTCTTTGGGCAGTTCCGGGCGATCGCTCATATTCACAGTCTGTCGAAATTCTATGATTGGAAAGTGATGCCAAAAGTTGACCTTTAGCCCACGCCATGGCCATGGACGCATGCCAGCCTACGCAGCGTATGTTTCTTCGCCTTGCGGGCAAAACAGCCTAAACTGGTGAATTTTGCATCAAGGCCTAGGTGCGTCAGGACAGTCAGTCGCCACTCTTATTCTTTCGAAGTCGTGTAAACCTGTGGGGTGATCTATAATGAAAGAAACTGCACTGAAGGTGACCTATAGCTATCGATCGTCAGGACAGGCATAACCATGCGAAAAGGTGAAATCAAATAACCCCCTGGTAAGATGCAATTAGCAATAGACATTTCAATAATGCAGCATGCTGTCCGCCTTTTCTGCAGAGCGGAATTATCGGCGTTGCAGATATACCGGACCCCATATCGGATTTCGGCATTTACGCGGCTATTACGGTATTTCCTATCAAAATTTTTTGAATTGCGACCGGTTGGTGGGTTTCATTTACGCACGTCGAACGATGCCTGGATTTAACCAGTTTTCGCGTTATGCATGCGGCATAGAATTATTGATAATAATTGTTTCACCGTCGTCATGACGCATAAGTAAGATCAACCGGTCGGCTCTGCATGGTGCAAGAAAACAAATCCAAAATCATGTTCACCATCTCGAGACTAATAATTACTTATAATCACTAACGTCATTGGGAACATTTCGACATTTTTCGTGGATTTTGCCTAAAGGTGAATCCGCTCTTTACTGTATCCGACGAAAGGTGATCTGGCATGACTGCATATTCTATAATCTTCTACTTCTGCTTTGAACGAAACATCTAGCTAGCTACATGAAAAGAAACACGCAGACTGGTGAACGTGTATTTTGCTGAAACGTACTGCCTATATGTGACCTTGGAAATGGCTTACAACAACACCACAATTACAGCCTTTAATATAACCCGATCAATTAGCCGTTTTTTCCTCTACGGCAACTGGACAACTTTGGATTCCATAACCTGTGTATTATGCTTTATGGTGTATTTCACCAACGGATTCCTCCTCCATCTCTATCGGACACGTCCAGCATTACGCAGCCCATTTGGCGTGTACGTCATCCTCATTGCCGTTGTCAACATCGTGCTCAACATATCCGTCAATCCGCTCAGCCTGCTACTCAAGGACGCCTTTCCCGATTTTGCGACATCCACATTCTGCACGGTTCACGAGTATATCGGTGTGGTAGTCGGTGCCGCATTACCGGTAACCCACATGCTGATCAGCCTCAATCGCGCCTGGGCCATCGCCTTCCCAGTACACTACAAACGTCATCATTCCCACACAACGGCCCTTGCTATTTGCACCTTAGCGCTCTTAATCATAAACATCTGTGTGATACCCGGCATCGTGATCGACGGAGTATACAGCCGCAACGAAAATTTAAACCAACGCTGCAGTTTGAGCCGGGACCCGGCAGTGACCACCTGGATCAGTGTTATATCCGCGGTGTTTTTCATCGTACCGGAATGCGTCATATTGGTGTCGTATCCGTTCTTCGTTTTTCGACGGCTGCACCATCGACGACAGATCCGCACGACAGCCAGTAGTCAGGGAAAAGGGGAAGATACAACGGCGCCGGTCAGTGGGATGCAGATGCAGGCAGAACGGGTCAAGACGACAACATCGTCGCGTTCCTTCTTTATCCTAACCTTGTTGACGCTGAGTGTCCTGCTGTTCTGGACGCCTAATAATATGTTTTATTTATTAATTCGCTACCTTCCCAATGTGGCGTTGGCGCTCCGTATTGGAAATTATTTGAAATTAGTGCAGGCCATCTTCGATCCAATCCTGTTTCTAGTTGCGCTACAGTATTTACGGTTTGTCTGCATCGAGATTTTCCATGATCTTCGAGAAATTTTTGTGTAGTTAACTGCTGAATTATTCTCAATATTTTCTGTGTATAGCTGAAATGAGAATGATTTCGACGATAGTTCCGAATATCATAATATATGCATATAGGTATTCCAGTGGGTATCTTTTTGTCTGCAAGTTACTGTAGTTTCAAGTCCCGTTTGCTCTGCGCGTTGTTTGGATTTGCCGCTCTTTTATCTATAAACGATAACTCTGCAAACGGCGCCGGTTCTGCATTTTTCCGAAGAATCGTACACTCGTATCTGTACGTTTATTTATTGATCTTTAATTACTCTGTCCGTTAACCCAAAAATACCCGCTCACCTTCATAATAAATAAAGCTTGTTTTGAAGAAACAAGGAAACTGGCTGGTCACGTTTATCAGCTGATCTACTGTACTTCTATCTACAACAAATACTTAAGTACATGTACGGTTATAACTAAAATTCGCCGCTGGGGATTCTCATTAAATTGCGGTTTCTGACGCATAATACTACAAAAACGACGAAACACACATTATATTGTACCACGTACGCAACTTCATAATTTACTTAATTTCCAGAAGTCATAGCATGTTAACATAATACTTGTATTAATGCAATGGATATCGTTGCAGGCAACTACGGTAGCAATTACTGTACATGTCTCTGCATGCAGAATGCAAAATTAATTAAATTATGTAAACTCGTATTATTGGATCATGCAGATTAAGTAATTTATTTATTTAATTATATTATTGATTTTTTCGAGTTAATAGTAGCTATTCTAATAATACTACATAGTTAATACCAGACTATTATACAGCAGCAACAGTAATTATTGCATTAAGTAAACTGATACAGTAATTCTCATTAACATTAAAAGCTGTAAGTATTATGCCGGATATAGCCTGAGCCGCGGTAATCAAATTTTATATAATAATTATATAAATTAAAATTTGATTACCGCGGCACAGGCTTTAATTATTGTACTGAAGTATCTACGTGGATGTTGTACTGGTACATACAGATACACCGCACACGGCTGCACTCACGTATTATCTTAATACTGCATACAGTGTCATATTATAGATATAGATATTAATTTTATTTTTATTAGAAGTGTGTATCTGCGAGTACAGGACTGTTTACAGAAGTACAGCCTGCAGGTAAGTACAAGTACATACGAGTACGTGCATACGATGACTCAAACGGATTTCAGCGGCGAAGAACACGTGAGTCGACTGTTTGGCCAGTGCACAACCGGTTTGGCCGAGTCAGCTTGGACGATTTTATCGCCTCCGCACTGCAACTGCAAAAAAACGTAAACAGCTGACTTTTGCTCCGTCGTCTTGTGATTATTTCATGTTTTTTTTCGCAAATACTGTCATAGCGGGTATTTTACGAATCATTCAACGAATTTTGCGTGTATCAGGATCAGGAGGCAACAGCAGAATGGCTGCGGAATCATCGGCTGCGCGTTCGTGGACGATCGCCACGTTCCCCGTCAGCGCGGGGAAGGAAGTGATGCGCAATGAACCTTGGGTCTATTCGCTGCATCCCCGAAATTTCCACTCACTGTGCTATCGCTGCTTCACACCGCTCGATCCCTCCAAAGCCGTCCGTCCCGATCTGTTCGCCACCGTCAGTTGCAAGTTTCTTCGCTCCTTTCTTGTATGAAATTTTTTCGTGTTTGTAGACGTATCCTGCTCCAGGTGCGGTGAATACTGTGCCCTGCCCAGACTGCAATGTCGTCAGTTATTGCTCACCGGAGTGCCAGGTAAAAATGCTACGGATAAAGTTTGCCGGAGAAAATTTTTTTTAAATTAATTTATTAAATAATTACTGCTCCCAGTAAAAATGCTGCGGAATGGGGTAATAATAATGTTGTGCGGAAAATCCTTTTAACGGAATAAAGAAATAACTGCCCACAGAAATCCTGGTTGGTATTAAAAGCATTCGCGGATTGACATTTGACAGGATATGATAATATTGTTTTTCGGGAAATTATTTTGATTCAATGAAAAATTACTGCCATAATTTTTCTTAAATAGTTGCAGGGTTTGATAATGTATGTTAAAAATTAATTAAATTATTTAATTTAAAGGGAAAAACAATAAATTTAATTTATTGTTGTTAATAATTACTATTTTTCTTATTTCTGTTGTTTAGAATGCGGATAAGACAACGTGGCGCCACGGTATGGAGTGCAGTTTACTGAAGAAATTAACCGCCACAGGCACAACACCGCACCACGACATGCTGATTATTGTGAAGATTATGGCGCGTCTGCTGAATGTACGGTGACACAAAGTCACCCTGGGTGTCATTGGTCCAGTGATATGTTGTGTCATTGCAGGACGATGGCAGTAGTACCCGCGCCAGCAGCAAACCTTGGATCTACAGTGGCCGTGATTATAACCGGCAGCTGTCGCATGCCGAGGAGATCCTGCAGAATGAGGTGTGGATGAAGGATGCGCAGCATCTGCGCCACCTCCTCGAGGCCGTCATGGACGAGGCCGACATCCCGGATCTGCGCAGGCAATTTTCTAATAATTTTTTAAATCATCACAGATTTTTTTTTACAAATTTGTAAAATTAGTCATGTTTATTAATTTCGAAAAAAGTACATTTTTAAATTTTATTTACATTGCGTATTGTCGCTGCTTGAACTTTGATTATAAATGGTGTAGTTTGGTGGAGATGTACGGGAAGCTCAAGGTGAACTCGTTCGATATTCGCGATCAGTATCTGCGCCGTCTGGGAGAGGGATTCTACTTCGAAGCGGCCAAGTTTGACCATTCCTGTCTGCGTAATGCGCTCTTCTTTTTCGATGGACTGACGCTGGTGATTCGGGCAATCGAAGACATTCCGGACGCCTTGAAGGTCGGTAATGGTTTGCGAAATGATCAAGTTCATAATACCTACGAATGTACTCATATCTGTACGTGCAGCAGTGTAGTACAACGGCTGCTTGGTGATGAATCCGTTTCGAGCATTCAGCGTTGATCTCTTGCAGTTTGATAGGATAATTAGCAGTTTTCTTACGTAAAATTCAGTAAGTTTTTCTTGGTCTGGCGTGACATTCTTTTCGCTAACCATTTCGCAGTTAATTACTCGACACAGTTTATAAGGTAGACGTATGTTGAGCGCAGACAATGCCACACCTATCGTAACTGAACATTCAACCATCTTGAGTCGTATCATGAAATGCAGTATGAAAGTGTATGATGTCTGTATGACTGTATCTGCAGTATTAAAACATGAAAATATATAAAGTGAGATTCTTCGTTCATAAAAAGTTGCAACATGGACCGGAGATCTCGAATTTTGCAGGTGCGGGTGTCGTACATTGAGCTCTTCACCACGACCAATATTCGTCAGAAGAATCTCGAATGGTTCTTTTTCCGCTGCAACTGTCCCATGTGCCATGATCCCCAGAAGGTTGGCATTTTTTACTGGATGTATCCAGTAAAATGTACATACAAAAATAAAATACATAATACATAATATAAAAATACATATTTTGTAATATATATGAAAAATGTACAATATATGTAGCCTATAATTTTGTCTACGTTGTGCTTTCTTCTCCTGCTTGACGGGTGAACAGAAAAGCATTATTGCAGAACGCCGACATGGAATGCATACGCTGCTGCACCCCGGCCTGCCCCCAGCCCGTCCCCCTGGACATGGACACCCGCAACCGCGACCCCTGCCCCACCTGCATGGAGTTCATCCACACCCAGCTGGCGCAAGATCCAAACGGCCGTTGGAAGGATTTTAATTGGCACGACGAGATGAGTCAGCGCTTGAACGCGGCGCATAAGCTGCTGGAGGAGCACAGTAAGCAGCACGACGACATCTTCCGCGTGCTGGATGACGCGTCGGCCACCCGCCCCGGGAATGAGGGCCAAGGGGAGGGGGCGCGGCAGACGCGGGAGGTGCTGGCGGATGTGGAGCGCCGCTGTGAGAAGATGCTGGAGGAGGGAAGAAGCTGCTGCATCCCAGTAATTGGACGCGCTGTGTGACGCATACGGTGTTGGCGCGGGTGCTGTTGGCCGGCGGGGAGGCCGGGCGGCGGATGGCGGCCGGGGAGCATTTTGCGCTGGGACTGCCCGGCATCAAGTAAGTGGTTGCTTTTTCCTATTAATGTTGATATAATAAAAAATAAGATATCGTTTTATCTTAACTGGAAAACAGTACTTATAAATTGATTGGCATATTGCTGTACTCGTATCCTATTAACTTCAATAAAATGCAAAATAATATGTCGTTTTATTCACGGCGTATATAGTTTTGAATTTGTCTTTTAGCTGGATTTTTGTGTTACGTCTTATTGGTTTTTTGACAGGCGAGGATTGCGAGCGAACGATACCCGAGCTGGAGTTCAGACACTCATGGCCGCCTTACTTCCGCTGGCGTCGCCACAGTTTACCAATGCGGTATGGCTGTGTTTAATAATACCAACGTGCGAAAGAATTTATTTTTTAAAAAATGGGATTTTAGGGGAAATCGCAGATGCAAACTTGCATGTAACCAGTAATTAATAATGCAGTGCACTCTGTAGTATTTTTAATTTACCAGCAGGCAGTAGTGTTTACAGGAATGTCAATATATACGGCAAAATTGAAATCTTCACTTCAATACTGCAGCTGTGTAACGTAGAGTAGTGGCATCTTAAATAGCTGATGCAGTTACGGAATGAATGGACTACTAAGAAATTAATTATACATTTAAAGGTTGCGAAAAAGTTTTGAATTGTAATTTTTAATTTTGCTGTATTATAATTCGAATGGTTTTGTAGCTGGGCGGACAGGGCGCCGAAGTGGACCGCAACCGCTTAGCGGAGGTCAGCCAGTATGCGGCGGAGGCCAAACGGATCTTTTCCATCAGTGACGGCAGCGATCGCGGTCTGTACCGTATTGCCGACAGTCTGGCGGGATTGTGCGATCAGCTGGCCGGGAAATCCACGGAGAAGCCGGTGGTCGAGGCCCGCCAGTGGTTGGAGACGATGGTGGCCACCTTGAGCGATCTGGTGTGCCGCTCACTGTTCCCGGTGGTCTACTGATCCGTCACCGGCAGAAATCTTGTTCAAAAATGTTCATATTTTTTCCGGTGTTTGCATGCAGTTGCGCTGTAGTCACATTACGTGTTAATTATTAATTATTGAATTTGTCTGGTGTATTTTTCTGATAATGTTAAATGATGGCATGACACGTAATTATTGTATTTAATATGTAACGCCATTCATATAAATTTCGTAAATTGCAAATTCATATAATTTATAACTGGTTCATATAAAATCTGGATTCATGTAAAATTCAAATGGTTAGAAAATCGCATTTTGATAAATTTACTCGAGTTGATTCCAGGTAAATATTTTAAAATGGTTAGAAAATACCGGATTGTTTTAACTGTCTATTTAATCAAGCCGGCATTTGCCGAGCCTCAAAAACGGTTTCACTAAAGTATTGCGTACGTACTTAACAACAGTCGTTATAATTGGAAATATTTATTTAACTGCATCAGTATAAAAACATCAGCGTTGATGTAATACGAGTACAATTTGTTGTGATGAATGATGGTGCGTGTTTCCTCACCAGAGGCACACTACCGGAAATTACACAATCCGGATATTTGTTGTTATAAAAGCTATAAAAATTCGTAATACTTAAGAACGGAGATAACTGGTAACAGATAATTGTGATCACAGAAAGGTAGCGATCAAACAAAAAAACGTAGCTGCTGGTTAGTTCGATAGGAGAATATCCCACGATCCAGTGAATGACTTAATATCCCCGATATGCTCGACGTGCGCTATCTGGGACGGTTGACCAGAACCGCAGATCTGGCACGAGTCACGTGGACTGAGATAGAAATCTGCAAATTAATAACATAATTGATACGAGTATTAATCGCGGAATTTATTTGATAGTTACAATGAGGTACATATAGAAGTATATATAGTATATGCTCGTAATTGGTAACTTAATCTGCATACATACAGTTACAGTATATCATTGTACATACCTTCGGCAAAATACAACTGCGTGGTCAGTGTGGTTCCGGTGGGTTGATTATTTCTGTCCACCGGCGTAATCATAAAATGAATATGCGCTGGACGATAACCTCCGTCATCGTAGCGTCCCGGGAAGATGGATGTCAGGGAGAAAAATCCATTATCATCCGTGAAAAAGCGAATTCGGCACGTCTATATAAAAAATCATTCTATATTAATTATAAAAGAGCAAATGTATGTCGCATATCTAGGAGTACAACTGCGCGAAATCTAAAGGATTTTATATATTATACTTTGGAGAACAGCTAATAAAGCGGAAGTCGCAGAAGAAAAACTAAAATTGATCAATACAGCTTTCATTGACCGGAAGTGGGAAGAAACGTACATAGTCCTTGGACTGCATGGAAGTACTGCTGTATACTCCATCGGAATTCGCTTGCCAAATATCCAAGAAAGCCCTTGTACCCACACCGCAGTCGGAAGCGGATTTCTGCACCCGAATGGTGCCATTAAGGAATAAGCGATCTTGTGCCGGGGTGTTAGCGCAGATTTGCGGGATATTTCGGCTATCGAAGGAGACAACCGGCGCGTTGCGTTTGTAATACGGACCCAGTATGTCCTTGGTCGTCACGCGGCAGCTTCCTGTAATCAAAAACCAATTTTTAACCATGCGCAGAATTAACGAACCATCGAAATCTACAAAATATATACGAGTACTTCCATATATATCTCTATTAATTCATGCAGTAAGATTAAGTAAGTATACAAAATGCGTTACAATTTGTTTTATACTGCTACAGCATACATTTATCCGATAGATCAAAATACTTTGTATTACCATTAGGAACACATGAAAATTTGTTACTTACTGTCCGCCGCGGTAATTCCACAAACCACTGCTAGTATAAAAACTGTAATCGCGTACATCGTACAGCCGGTAATCGCAGTGAAAACCCAAGTTAAAATGAAAAATCTGAGTAAATTCTGCACTTGTAAATTGTAAATACAAATGAGTGATTTCGCACTTCAGTTAGATTTTGCTTATATAGATATACAAGCGCTGTACATAGATCGCAATAAGATGCTCGATGATATGATCACTATCGACTAATTCACCGTGGAACGGAGCCGGTGAGTAACGCTGGTATTTTCAACATGTACCACGGCATCAGAATAGCCCGGAGAATCGTTTGCGATCAGCGACATGATTTCTGTGAAACTGTATCGGTTGTTTGCAATTAAGTCGAAGGAAAACGTGACATTTACGCGCAATTTGTATCCGGTATTTTTTTGGCTTTTTGTATTCGTCAACATATATACAGCGTCGGTTTTCGCCTGACGCATGTACGTCATAGTGGTCATTAGACATTTGTGACGAATGCGGATTATACGGTTTGTACCTTAAAGCGTGACTTGCGCACACGATCAACAAGTTCAATCGGTGAATTTTGGTTTTCAGGAATTCCCGAACAAATGATCGTCACACTTAATAAAACTGTACTTTGTTTCAAGTGCACATCCAGGCAACTTTACATACGGTACATGAGTATGAAAATTGAATTTTCGTCGTTGTGTTTTTCCCGGTAGCGCGTGACGATAAGCACCGTTTCAGCAAATAATCGACCGATGTACGGCTGTATTATGTATATCTTTGCTTATCGATCAGCGGTGACAATTAAACATAAGACGAGCACGATCCCTTGCTGACACGGCATTGTTTTAACAGAGAATACACACTCGCCACAAATCACACTGTGACTGATAGCACAGCGAACTACATAAACTTCCGCAGTGAAAGATTTTATTTTCGCTGCTGGCTTTAACTTTATTGCGTTTGGAGTAAGCGTGAATTTCGGCGCATAATTAATCACAATGTTGACAAAGGTCATTCTGCTGGTTGCCGTGCTGGGCTGTGTCCACGGCGGGAACTACGATGCCACCTTTTTGAAATCGGGTGAAACCTTGCTGCCGAAAGGTATGTATCTGTATTAGCACAGATTCGGCTGTTTATTTGCTTATTTATTATTTTGTTATTATATGGACATGGTTTCGTCCGGTGAGTTTTATACAAGTTGTTCGTTGTATAGCGCTGCAAGTGAAAGCCGGTGGATCGTGTACCCCAACGGCCAAGGATATCCTTGGGCCGTATTACAAGGCAAACGCTCCTTTACGCCCAAACAACCCCGTTCCCTATATCTGCAACAATTTGCCGGCGAATGACCGTTTGTTCTTGAACGGCACTATTTCCCTGCGCAGCTCCGCCGCCCAGTGCGGTAAGCCTGTCCGCGCCCTCCTGGACATCTGGCACGCCAATGCCGATGGGGTGTACAGCGACACTGCGCCCACTTCCAAGGACTTCGTAAGTACTACGAATACCGCAATCGTATGTTATCCTCAGTACTATATGTCGATTCTTGGCTGCCTTTAATTTACCAGTGCGCATATATTTGTATACAATATAAATATATCGTAATTTAGATCTGTGTATAATTAATCACTGTACTCGTATTATGTACTCGTTATAATTAAGTACTCAATGTGCTCGTATTATGTACTCGTATTATATGCATATACTATGTCCGGCTCCATAGTCAAATTTTGATCACATCTGCGGAAAACATTATTGTATTTGTATATTCCAGTTGTGTGTGTCTAAATAAGGTGGTATTGTAGTTAGCAAGTATCATCCAATCCGTACGAATATGTACATATTGCAGAGCTGCCGTGTGAAAGTGTACACCAACGACAACGGCGCGTACTCCCTGACGTCCATCTTCCCCGGTCGGTATGACGACGGCGGCTACCGTCCCGCTCACATCCATTTCAAAATCACCCCGGTGGATAAGAACAACAATCCCATTGGCAATACTCTCACCACCCAGCTCTACTTTGCCGAAGGTACATCAACATAAAAATTATCTGCAAAATCGTATTACGCATGCTGCATGATCGACTTACCAGTTAGATTGTTTACATGTACAGTACTTACAAGTTACATAATATTGTTACATAATAATTTCTGTAGAAGTGTACGCTGTATCGACGCCTCGCTCTAGCCAGATAATTACCATATGAGTGACTTCGTCTTATAATGAAAAACTAAAATACAGTATAAAGCTTCGAAAAATTTTCGGCTAGAGTACAGCACAAATTACAGAGGTTTTGACCGCATCTATGGATTCATTCATAATCAGAATGCGACCTAGCACTACAATAATCCCGATATCTTTTAAGGAGGTTGCGACGTGCGACGAAGCGTGTGCGACGAAGCGTTACCATCATAACTGCGCATTCATGATCTTAACTCAATTTGAAATGAATTTGAAAATACTATGAATTTGAAAATATTAAACTTTTTGAATTAAACTCAGAGAATGCTCGCTATGACAGGTCGGACATTCTGCGCAGCTACTAAAACGAGTAATTTGTACATTTGTGCCGGGATCGTCCATAGCGCCGAATTCGTGCTTCGTCATACTTTTCAGTTTTGATCACTTGGCTCCTGTTGACGTCTATGAATTAATTTACGGATTTATTTGTTAGCATCTACACAAATATCGATCACATAATGTTTTAATGCCGGCATTCTTAACCCGCAGATTTCTACCTCAGCCCGCGCGACTCCTGCGGCGTCTGCGGATCCGGCCAGCCGACGCTCATCTCGCACGTGGAACACGTCGGCGACATTAAGACCTATGTGGGCTCATGGAACGTTTTGCTTTAAATAATTTCTCCCGTTTTACGGAGACTGCCATCTTTGACAGAAAATCCTCCCCGCTTCCGAACTGAATCAAACTTTATTTTTCCGGTATATATTTTTGTAAAATGTAAAAACCGTGATAAATTCAAAACCGCTGTGAAATTATGAAAAAAACACAGCACCGTAAACCAGTAAAATACGATAGAAGTAAATAAAATTTCGGCTTCGGAGTGGAACAATACTTTAGTTTTCCCGTATATATATTTTTTGTAAAATTAAAAAAACCTTAATAAATTGCACTAAGAAATCGCGAAAACAACACCACGGTTAACGAGTAACATATGCGAAAATCCGCTTTGGAACTGCACCAGACTTTATTTTCCCGGTATATATATATTTTTTGTAAAATTTTAAAAACCGTGATAAAATTCAGAACCGCTGTGAAACCGCGAAAAAAAACACCACAATAAACCAGTAAAATAATTGTAAAAGCATGCAGAATACAGCATGAGAGGACAACTGCTTTTGAAACCATAACATCCCGGGCCCGCCAGAACAGAAAGGTCACCCGCATAACGCTGCTGTCATCAAACAGGACAAACATATTACAACATGCGCCAAAAACGATCGAAAACATTTATATTCCGGATAAATGTATATAGAAGCCTCTATCACAACGATCCAAAACAGAAAGAGCCAAATAAATCCAAAATGAAAATCCTCCTCCAAAAACAGAGAATCCACAGCTGCACCCACTATTTTCCAATATATCCATATTAAAGTTGCCGGATGTGTTCGTATATCATTCAATACGAGGTGTGTTCTGTCGGAAAAGAGAGAGACTTCGATTAGCGCTAATTGCATATCGATTGATTTTCCATAATGATCGCCATCACATTTATGGAATATATTCAGCCGACATTTTACCGTGAATATTTATTAATAAATCAAGCTATTAACTGATCAGCGTTCCGATAATCGATTATTATTCTATGTCTGTATTCTGTGGCGATTAAATTAAGTACTTATATTTGCTGCATTATTATGGATGGAGAGGATGAAAAAATGTCGGTTACCGAAGCTGTCAAGTGCGTGCTCCGTGACGCTCAGTGTCAGCGTCTCCAATTCGGGATATAATCCGTCAAACCAGAGATTCGATTCCATTTCTGTCGGCGAAGAGCAACAACAATTTGATTAATCCATATTCCATTAACAGCGCGTCAATTCAGCCGATATGTCGTCATTATATTGCATATCAATTCTTCGATATTGACACATGACAGACAAAAAGGAAGAATTATATAAAAAATACTAAAGGCCAAATTTTCGATTAATTCAAATGGCGAAATAAATAAAAATTAACATTCATACTGGAATTAAATCAATACTGAAATTAAATTCTAAAAATACTTAAACTAATATGTACTGAATTAAATCAGATAAAATCTATACAAAATTAAACCATTTAAATTCAATAGTTTAAATTAAAGGATGCCATTCCGACGCAATAAAAAAACAATAAAAGAACTAATGGTTTTTCCGCTTACCGGACAACGGAGCCGACTTCGTCCGTCCGACGGGGATCTTGGCCGGTTTGAGGAGTTTGTCGGGGTCGATGGGAGACGCCGGCGTCGCCGGTCCCTTGACGGCGTACATGCGCTGAAGGGGCCGGTGGGCCGGCACCGACGCCGTCGCGGTCAAGGGCCGGAAGCGTCCTTCCGCACCGTTGCCGAAGAATTCCGGCTGTCCCACACCGTTCGCTCGGTTGTCGAAACTGCTCGAGTGTCCACTGGCCGTGTAACTAATTTAAAAAAATTTATTTTACCTATGTTAAACTAAGTCAAAATTTCTTACATTTACTAGAACGTTTAAAAACTGACCAAAAGAGAAAAGACAAACGTGTATTAAGGACAACGCAGTGTTACGACATTAGGAAAAATAAGCCGCGAAATAAGAATACAGCTATTTCATTAACTTTGAAATTTTGGAATGGAAGAAACGTTAAAACGTGAACTGCTGTAGTGGATTAGTATTACGTTGTGTATGTACCATTTGGTCAGTTTCCGGTGTCCTTGGAAGGAATTGGGACGGAGATGCAGGTGGAGATTATGTTTGATGGACTGCAGTACGCTGCGCAAGGAACTGTAGAAGGCTTCGTGGTGCAGACAGCGGTCCGTGATCTGCAGCAACACCGCACTGGTGTCGTCTTCCGGCTGCGGGATGGCGGCGCCGCTCAAGCGCAGTGCTGCCGCTGCAATGCGAATTATTCCCATCAGCTCAAACAATAAAATCCAGTCACAAAAAAAAATTAAAGTATTATAATACAATGAACGTTTCACTGGTCGCAAAATGCATCAAGTCATTTTTCATTGTAAGTTCCAGGATAATAGGGAAGCAAACTGCGAGACACTGTACTACGATCGCACACTGCAATTAGCTTTACCAAAGTGTACCGGTTTGAAAACCTGCAGGATCAGAAAACAAATAATACGAATAAAAATCAGTATGAAAACAACGGAAAACCGCCCATTCCGAATTACGGAGTCAACAAAATGTCGAGCTCTAATAAGCGAATCTCCAGCTGGCTTTTGAAACACTTTAGGCGATGCTTGCGTCTGTATAAATTTCTAGCTAACTTATTTTTACACCAGTTGTAAAATGTTTTTCCATTTATTTCACTGCGTTACCTTTCTTAACGAGAAACGTTATCCGTGCGGCGATATCATTGGACGGGATCTGGTCCATGGACACGATCTTCTCCAGATCCCGGATGGGGGAGGTGGTCATCTTGATGGGCGTGCCCAGCATGTTGCGCACCTCTGCCAGGACGGTGGTCAGCTGTGCCGGGTCGTGGAGCTGTTGAGCATACTGCCGCAACTCCTCGGGACGATCACGCAACTTCTGAATACTCAGCGCAATCTTCCCCCGGGCGCCTTTGGTTACGTTCTGCAGCCATAAAAAACCACCACTCAATGACAAATCGCCCGACAGTTGGCTGCTGGAGAATGCATCGTTATTTTGTGTGTGTTTCATTCATACCCATGCTTCCAGCTGTGCTTCCGTGATGCCAATCAGTTCCTCGTAGGTCTTATTAGCTAATAAACTGCAGTATTTGTGCAGGCGGAGGGTTTTCAGCCAACCGGGGACGTCTAAAAAAACAGCAGGCCTGTGTAATGAATATCAAAAGCCAATATAAATAATAATCAAACTAATTTTAATTATTTCCAGACAAATATAAATGATAATTAAACTAATGGAAACAATAATAATACCAACACACCTCACTATAAACGTACTGTAAGCTAATATGAGCAAAAATTCTTATGAAATTTACCAAGGCGCCCGTTATTAATTACAGATTCTTTCATTCATAATTCCACATTTGTTCCCAAATGAATCGTACAAGTAAATTAATAAGAACGATATAAAAAATATAAGTGAATTTATAAACCGGTCAGCACATTGATTTCCATTTTATCAACTTAATATCGAGAAATTGTTCAAATCAACGAAACCTTGTACAGGCTATTGCTGAATAAAACCCCCTTACACTACGATCGTTCACTGTAGGCTGAAGCTGATTTCACCAAAATGTTGTGTAACAGCGTATCGACGGGTATAATGATTTCCGGTGCCGGTTATCTGCTGCGTTCCTAATTCGGTGCGAAGCCGGTACAAATACCGCATCGACCTGTGAAATTAAATTCCGGCAACCCCAGCAGATTGTTTTCGCCCTCTGCACTAACATCCCAAAGCCCCTACCCGGATGTCATAAACCCCTCAACTGACAGTGGAATAACCCATTTCGCGCTGACACTTCCGATTAAATTTATTAACACTGGAAAAATAGATAGCGCGCACATCCTTTCTCACGCATTCCATGCACAATACATGGCTCATCGTATTCACGAAATGTTTACGCATAATTCACGTGTTTTTCTCAAGACTTCTTTGTAGAATAAAATCGATAAAGCTATCATACAAATTTATTTTATTAATTTTAATGCGCAATATTAATTTTTCTATTTTTTTTCTATTTAACACAACATTTATTTTACGATTTTTGTCTCAGAAATGCGTTTATTTTAAACCGCTTTTTGGCAATTTCATGGCGCTCGTTGCATGCGAGTTGAGCTGGAAACGGAAAGCTTAATTTATTAAGCAGAGATAATAATTAGAATTATCAGGTAAAATGTCAACGTTGAATGCACATCACACGTCCACTTAATCAGGCCAACGGAGACAATCAAATGCGCAGACAAACACACGGTTTCACAAGCCGCTGCCAGGGAGAACAGACCGGAGATCCGGTGCGTATATGGCAAAACGGCGCAGCAGCAAGCAGCCAACGTGCCAAATCACTAACTAACGCCCGGCAGACAAATTAAATTTCAAAACTCACCTGCACGTGAAATTGAGAACACTTTTTTCACTCTTTAACACGGTTAAAAATCGGTAACGCCTCACGCATGGCTATTGTTACATTGTCATCAGTCTGCTACTACCGGCGCCTGGAAACCCCAATTCTTCCTTACGCAACAGAAAACAACGGCATAAAAATCCGGCATATTATTTCTTATCGAATTACAGCATAATTTCTGATGAATTTATACAATTCAAATTTTTCCGTCGCAAAAATAATAAAGATAATATGTTTAACTTATCAAAATATCTGTCGAATATCCCACTTGTAAATGCAAACAAATGCATCCGCAATTTTTAGCTCCGTTTTTGTATTTCTTTCCGGAATTATTTTTTAGAATTTTTCTCCTTTCCCAGCCGAAAATTGTTATTAATTGTTTCGGTTACCAACCGAAGCGGTATTATTCGTAGACAAATTCCCAAGTAAAATCTCGTTATTTCTTCTGTTCCGCTGACGATACCTTTCCCTTAAATATTTACATGCGGAAATCCCTCTCTGATGTGCTCATCCGTTTCTTCCCTTTTATAACCCACCATTCTCTCATAAATTCACCGAACAACCCGCATCCCTCGAGACCCATCATTCTCTGGCAACCCGGAACACGCCAACCCAGCATCCCAGCCCACCATCCGTCTCACGTGACCCGGCCGATCCCCCGCACGCGGATGTAGCTTTTTCCCGGATGTAGCTTTTTCCCCCGCGCTGCACAATGCCCACACACCGATCCCATGTTTTTAAGCTGTCACACATCCTGCTCTGAAACTGGCTGGAGCAGCATATTAAACCGGGAGCAATCGATCCCGGATCGATGATCATTAGCAACACATTCCCTTCCGCATAGATGCTGCCTCTCTATACACGCCGCACTGCACTCTCGACCTTTTATCCGAGCGACGCTTTTCAATGGGATCCCGTTCCCTTCACCCACTACCCTATTCTTTAACGCTGAAGGCCTGAAGCCGCTCTTCGCGGTACGAACGGGAGAGTAATTTTCCCTTTCAGATGCTCGGGTTTGGAAAACATTTTTCTAATTGAATGCGCTCTAGCGATGAAACCCTCCGTGCCGGCAGATAATAGGTACGCGTTAAATTTAAACTGAAGAGTCATCTTCGACGGAAGGATGGTAGAAGCCGTTTCAGGAAAACATTTTCCAAATGAAATCATTTGCTTTAAAATACGACGCTTTCAGGGATTCCAATAACTCGTACAAGTTATTATCACGAAAATCCGAAAAAATATTAAAGAAATATTAAATACCTACTCCACAGCTTCAAAAAATCATTCCGAACTCAAATTACATAGAGTGCAAGATGTATTATATTACAGAGTATTAAAAACAGTTTCCTAACTTTCAATAAAACTGCGTGCAAAAAAATTAAAAAAATACGGAAAATATTCGCAAAAAAAGAAAAAGTCGACTTTTTACGCACCTTTCATTCCCGGCTGCGGAACATGGATAAACGGTTCGGCGTTCAGCATACTGGAGCAGCTGCCATTCAAATCCAACCTCGATCCTCCCATCCGCTCCTCCTGATTGGGACTGGACGACAGCGAGCGGTGCAGCGGATCCCCGCCGTTCATCCGTCCCGGCGGCATCAGACTCATCGTCCGCCGCACAATGGCGGCCGTATCCGACACCGCCGCCTGCAGGGGCGCGTGGAACGGCAGCTTGGCGTTCTCCTTCCCGGGCGGCTGCTCCGCCGGACCCTCCCCGATCCCCGACGAGCCGGCGGAGTTCTGCGGCGACAAGGACGCATGCGACAAGGACGAATTCATCGGGGACAGCGAGCGCGGTGAGATGGTCCCCAGGGAGGCGCTGGGCGACAGCGGCACCACGGCCTCCCCGGTCGACGAGGCGATGACCATGGGAAAGGTCACGGCGCCCACCGCCGAGGCCGCCCAGATGGCGAACGTCTCGCGGTCCTTATCACAGAATGCCGGATGGATGCTGGCCATGGTGACCAGCTGGTGCAGGAGTTTGGAACTGCCGCCCGGATGGTGGTAGGCCTGCTGCACGGCGGTGGACAGGGCGTGACGGAGGGACGGCGGGTGGTCGGGTTTCAGGAAGCATAGAAGGGTTATTAGCTTGTCCAGGGGCTGTTTGGATAGGCTGTCTGTAAAATGCAGGCATGCGGTTGAGAGTGAGAGATGTGTGTGAGATTGTTTATACGCGCAGAGGGATGCGACTGGAATGCACAAATAAACAAAAATCGCGCCGTCTGCGCCGGAACACATGCCAGGCCGAATTCTGCGGTGCTGTTTGGCATGTGGATTATACGGTACGCGTACTACTTTAAATCGACTCCTTCAGTCAACACGGTTAACTTGTAAGCAATTTCTTCCTATCAGTTTTCAGATGCACGATCATTTCTGCCAACGATTAGCTCAGCAGTCAAAAGCAAACAACAAAAAAGCGATTTTATGAAATTCTTCATGTTAGGTAATATTTCCAGCCCGGTTTTTAGAATTACTCTAGTAAGAAAAAAAACAGTTATCAGAAATACAAGTTTTAAAATTCCAATAAATAAACAGAGCACTCCAAAAAAAAATTGTATAAAATTAATCGAAGAAATTTTCATATTCAAATTTCAAATATGCGAGACAACATGCGAATCAAGAGTAAACATTTAAAAACTAAAAATAGATTATGTGCCTTAAAGCAATTAAAATCCCGGAAGATTTTCTAAGCCGGCACCGCTACGTATCGTGCGCTATTTTCGTAGTTACCAACATCCCGATCAAGCGGCCATGTGTAAATGAAAGATCAAGAGATTAATCCATTAAAGTATTTTCATTTACCGCCGGCGGGCAGAAGACGATCAAATAAATATGCAGATCAAAGATCACATTCTCAAGTGATGAGCAAGACACACACCAGCATCCATTGCCAGATGCTACATCGCTATTTGCACACATTTCAACACAACTGAATCAACACACCGGACAATAACCAACAACATCCCTTTCCTTTTAATTCCAAAACAAACCAATCGCTTCAGAACACACTTTCTGCGATAAAAAAATAACGGCAACACATACAGTGGGTGTTTCCATCTGAATCGATCTGATACTAATAGATGTGAAAAACGCCTAGCATTTAAATATGTTTCAATAATTAGCTCTGTTAATTCAACGATCGCACGTCGCATGCATTGGGCGCCGCCAGCCATCTGACCAGCAAATCGGCGTCATCAAGCACAATACGGAATTGAGTTCAAGTTTGCAGACAATCGGACTGTTTCATGCAATTTAAAATTTTTCAACCAGCCCCGGTGTTAACGTACGAAGTTCCTGCTGCACTATGACATACTTTGCCTTAATTTATTTCGTCCCGCTTATTTAAACACGCTTAAAAGCTCGTTATTAATAAAAGTTTTAAACAGAGCACAGAAATCAGAGGTTTTAGACAATTTCTAAAGTAATTATCCGAAATGACAGACATTTTGCCGCCGGTTTTTATAGCGTTGCAGTTTGGTCAGATGTTTTAACAAAATTTAATGATACAGGTACTTTTGCAATTTTATAAATTTCATCCTTATACCTATTCCTAATTTATATTTTCACTGTCCTGTTTTGCAACACAGATGACCCAAAATTAACAGTTACTGGTAAACAGGTAAATTAATTTTTCCAAATTTTATACGTATAAAGTACTGTATTAAAAATAGGGCAAATATTCTGAATATTTTGAATTTAAAACAGCCCATTTTTAAAAAAAATAGTTTTTCTTGCTAGTATCATTTAAAAATTTTAAAATAAAATTTTTTATTTTTTTCCTTCCATTTTAAATTTCCAATCAATTGAGGTAAAGACGCTAATGACCCACAAAATGGTACAATTAACTAAGTGGCCATGCTAAGCGGCGCGGTAATTGCATTCTCGGTCTACGAACTAACTAGCGTAACGGCTCGCTCAAGCAACACACACACAGGGAGACCGTAAAGAGAGCCCCACACACAAAGCGCAATTTGGCAACAATCAACAAGCGACTTGTCCGCGACGTGCCTCATTGCCAATTTCACAGGGCGGTCGCGTCAGGTAAAAGGGAAAGAAGAATCGGCGCGCGGCGGCGGAGACAGATAACGCACTCTCTTTGCATTCCCTTCACACTTTCGTTGGCTTACATATTGGCACCGGCCATTCATCCGCAAGTGAATTTAAAAGCGGAATGCGGCGGCGCTACAGTTACCCAGTTACGCAACGCATCTCTTCATTGCCAGGGTCGGCACAGCGGCCAATTTTTATTACGCATTAAAAACTGCGCAGGTCAGCCAGGAGAGAGAGAGAGACGGTTGCGTGATTTTTTTATGCTATTTTAACGAGGCATTCACTGACTGATAAAATGAAACTGAGCTTTAAAAATTAATCGTCTAGCAAAAACACTTTTATACACGACGCAAATTGGAGCACTTTGTAAAAAATGAAATAAATAATTGGATCCTGCGGCCTTAAAATCGGATATTAAATTTTTCCGACGAAGGTCGATTTAAATCACAAGTTCACAACATCATAGTAATTAATTAGATTAAACCTTCTGAATTCAAAGTCTAATTAATGCCGAAGCAAAATACTGTTATTTACAGCTACTTATCGCCTGACAATAAAAATATCGTTTTTTCCATTAAAAATATGAACAAAGTACTACAAAAATTTCAAAAAACAGACTCGCATTAAATCTAGCTACTCTACTTTAAAATTAAATCTAGCTACTTTAAAATAAAAATATTTGGAGAAAATCTTTAATATTACTAATAAAAAAATTCGCTAAAAATATTTTGCACGGAACGAATTTTGGTTGTCTTTACTGTAGTCTGCTCAACAAAATTTCCATGAAGCATCTGAATATTTACTCAAGGTGGAAGCGCCCGTAAAACACGTTACAAGTTACATATGATAAATCGGCGAAATTGTTTGAGCCGATAACGAATGGCGTTCATGCCGTTGGGGCCGGATATTTCCCGGAACGCATCACTCACGTTTGATTATCAAATATCTTTGCGTTCAAAAGGCAACATGCGTGCAACTGTGGTACCGTGTGAGGACAACCGGTTTGCTGAAAGTGTGTTAAGTGCGTAGCCGATGAGTTGCACTTTACAAATTCTCAAACCCGAAACTGAATTTTAAACAAAAGCAAACAAGCTGCGAAAGGTTTTGCAGCCGTAAACAATTCCCGTATAGAAATGTGCGTGACGCAAATGTGACTCATGATTGTGCGATTGACGCTCGAAAGAAAAATCTAATCCGGTTTAAAATCTAAGTTTATTAAATCTACAGATTTTCAAGCGGACGTCAAAAAGAAATAAAAGTACAAGTACAAAACATTTAAAGGAAAATCTCAAGTACGCAATATTTAACTATCCCTGTTTGAAATGGTACGCTTAATATTATAACGTAGACTAGCGTATTTTAAATCGGAACAATTCTGTCTAAAATACTTACTATGCTCATCAAATAATTATTATAATATGTCAGAATACTAATAAAACGCGCTGCTCGTCTTCGAACAGTATTTCTTCGAAATATTATTTAAAAGAAATCCAAACAGTACGAGTATTTAAATGATATTTTAAAGAAATGTGATTATTAATTTTTATATTACTAAGCTGAAGTTTAACAGATTTTTCCTTTTAGACTTCAAAAGCATTTAAGCAATATTTAAAAGTAAGTAATACGATTATTAAGTTCTTATGTTCTTATATCACTAGGTTTTTTTGCTTTTTCCTTTCCGATCCCCTTCACCGGTTTTAGTATCACGCACTGCTCTTCTGATTAAAATTAAAAACACGGGATAAAGTGTAGCAAAGCGAAACCGAAGAATTCCATCACCACTCCCACCGCTGATGATTTATGGGAAATTATTCGGCAAATATTTTTACGACGTTTATCAAAAGCGGCCATCGCGCAGGTATCCTTGCGACGAAATTCATTGGCGCCCACTCACCTGCTTTACTGGCATCCTGGCCCACAAAGTCCACCAGCGGATCCGCCGCATCCGGCCGCGTCTCCTGCTCGATCAGCTGGCCGACGATGAGCCGTACAAAGGTCTTGTGGGCCAGCGGGAGCAGCTTGATCAGCGCACACAACCCCACCATCTCCTCCACACTGTCCATCTCGCGGGCCGCCTTCAGCAGGGCCTCCATGGCCGAGGAATGAACACTGTCCACCACGATCATCTTGTCGCTATCTCTCTCACATCCGCAAATTAAAAATCAGAACGGCAGGAGCAATTCCGACTCGGTCTTTTTCCCAGATGAAGATGCACAAGCAGCGCTCGCGCTGTCACGATCAAACTGGATCGACGTGCGCACGAGAGTGAGCGCGAGAGAGAGACAGTAAAGACGGAGAGAAGAAAAGAGACGGACGAGCGAGAGCGAAAGTGATGCGATCACGTGTCAGCGCGCCGGATCAATACCATTAATCATTCGATATGGCTCGGATTAAATCCCGCACCACCACCCCACACACACGGATGCAATCCCCGCTTCCCGGTGTGTCAATAACAGTCGGGGGATACGGGAGCAAAGTGCACTAGGTTAGGAAAAAATTAAAAATGATCATGAAGAAAACGGTGAGAAAAAAAGAACGAAGAGAAACTTAAGTGGCAGTTCTCGGACTGGAATGAATGAGTAACGTGTGTGAGTGTGTGTGATAGATTTAACGCCGGTTCACATCTTCGCAGTCTTGTACGTACACCTGTTTCGGCTCAAAGTTCGGTTGATCCGGCTCGACTGCATTCGAGCCGACTCGTTTGTGAGGATTTTTGAACTATTGCTTTCGGTTTTTATATTAATATTTTCAAAATCACACAAGTCACTTTAATGACCATTGACCAGCCCAAAAAAATTACTTTTGAATCCGTTTTTTATGAAGCCGACGATTCCGGTTCATGGCGCGGTTTGTGAACGGTCAACAGGCAGCAGTGGGTTCCGGTTCATTGCTCAGCTGGTACACGAGTACTTAAAGTAGGTACGTATGCATGTTGCATTCCATTCGCCGTACGACTGAGTACGCTCCGATCTTGTCTGGTTTCTGTCAACCCGGATCTGGCTGGCACTGGCAACAGTGGTGTTTGTACAATACGTCACTACACTGCACAGTGTCCACATACCAGATCTATCGCAGTTTTATCTCGTATCGGTATTGATCCGGTTTAGAAAGGCTGCGATTGTAGAACATGCCGGCAATTTGATAGAATTATTTTCGTCCAACCGGATGTGAATTATGTACCGGTCTGGGCGAAATGCGAACAGGAAAACGTTACATAAAACGCCGTTGTAATTTTCTGTGTCAGCAGCTTGGTCGCGCGATATTCACATAAACCACTTTAAATACGACAGTTGGGCTAATGAATTGTTGGCAGCACAGAATTTTGCTGGAAAAGTCGCCAGACTTTTGTTTAAAAAAGTACCTATTGTTAATGGAAATTCAGCCAGTAGCAAACCGAACGCTGGAAGATTCTCGATGGAATTATCGAGCACGAAAAACGCAACGAAACATTTATTGCATTCATTATACAATTGAACTGACGTTGTGATTAACAAATAATTAGTAAATTGCTATCCTGAATTCTCAGTTACTATACAGTACTTCTCTCAGTTCTCGGTGATTGTTCCTGTTTTTAGTGGGCTAATAATACATACACCATTAATTGCAAGTAATTAAGCAATTCTAAAATGAGTATAATTAGATAACTGTACTATTTGTACACAATTGATACCTGTCTAGCTTGTCATTAATTTTAACATTGACATTGCCATTTAATTTGCTACATGTTTCGCAAAGTGATAACCACCCAGAAAATTAGTATTGTAAGAACATGTAATTATAATTATTAATAACATCGTGTGACCATACTACTGAAATTGTGTTTATGCAATACGGCAGTTTTTTAATTATATTTCCAACAAATAATTATAACAGTGTTAGAGGCACGACAGCCTGCGTGATAGATACGCCACTTTGCGTATGCGTATCACTGCACACATGCTGATTCGCCCTCTCTTGTACGTACGTGAGTGGCTGCACTGCACTCTCCGCCTATGCGGATACACCGCGGCGCACTCACTGAGCATACTTGCTCTCTCGCTCCTCTCTCTCGCTGTATGACTCAGCGTATATTCGCTCGCGTTGGATACGAGTCCAGTCTGCGCACTCACATTCCATGTGTCTGGACAGCGTGACGCCGTTGCCGCCAGCACATTTCTTTCTCTACATTTCATTACGCGTAGAACTCGCTCGCAGCAACTTGACTGCTGATTTCTGCCAGACATTGGCTTTGTTGTGTTTTTCTCCCGCAATCACGCGGTATTTGCTCCACTTTATTTGTACAATAAAGGCACCTGTGAGCCCCCTGCGCTTGCCTGTCACATGGTAAGCAGATCGTCTGGTTTTTCGGTTTATCGGATCCTTTGAGGAGACGGTAAAGGCATAACTTGCGGAGAACTCGAAGAACCCACGGTTGAAAACAGATTGACTGCGAACGCAGCCTCTGCTTCAACCTGGTCTTTGCTGTCTAGCGACTGTGGTAGCAACAGGTTGATCGCAAAAGCGATCCCTGCCACCTTCGCTTGCCCTATCTTTTGGCTCTTCCACACAAGGAGAGCACTTTGGCTTACTGCCCCAGACGGACAAACGGGAACTCCCCCACCGCAACTGACGGACCAGGCTCAGAAGGAAGCCTGCAGCGCGCAAGGATCCTCTCAACAATCGGGGACCTTCTCCTTGAACGGAGACCCGCAACTTTAACGGCGGAATTCGACCTCCCAACGGCGGATCACCGACCTCCACGGACACCGTAACGAACCGGTAAAGTCCTGGTTACAGGTCGACACAGGTCGAATCTAGCTATAATTCTTAATTCTTAACGGCTGAAATTTATTTCTAAGAACTAGAAATAATTTTTCTACGGTAAAAAGTTAATTTTTGTCGGAGAAACCGACCTACAAAATTACTTTACCGACCTAACTGACCACCCTGTGTAACGGAGCAGAGGTCGGTCATCTTCTTACTTTCTTGATTTGACGGATTTTCCACCGTCAGAAAAATTTCTGAGAATCTAGAAATTATTTCTAACGGCTTAAAAATTAAAATTTCGACCAGAAAACATCTCTGATCGACCTAAAAATAATTTTGTTTTTCCGCGAAAATAAGCACGAAAATTCCCGAATTTCCTTGTGACGTCAGAACGCTCGATTTTCAGTACTTTGAGGCTAGCCAATCAGCGTGCAGGGGAAACTTCCCATACGCTTAACATAGGCGTGAATCATCATTTTTTTAAATTTTGCACGCGGCTCGCATTCTGTGACGTAGGCAGCGAAGTGCAAGACCACTTAGCCCTGTGACGTCATACTGGTCAGCACAGTAGTATAGGACGTACTCTACTGTAGTACCTTATCATACTGTACTGTACCATAGTACTGTATTGTAACGTTGTGTACTGAGTCACACACAGACACATCAACACAACAACAACTACATCAAGTCGGACCATCCTGACCCAAGGAAGTTCCTGAACCGAAAGACGTTCCTGACTCAATTGAACATCCCCACATAAGGGATAGTTCAATTTACTGTACAACAGTACAAGTCTCTCGTTGGTTCCACTTGAACCGACCTGACCCGACAACAATGTCGAACCCGAAGGAAAACGAATACGCCCGAAAGTTCAACACGGACTATTCGCGGCGCCTGACCTCCAACGCGCCGTATGCACTACGGCACTCCGGTCAGGATAAAAGTCAGCCGTCATCAACGGACTCAACGAAGTCGGCCGAGGCAAGGGAGAAGCGCAACGAGCGGATCCTCCTCGCCGATTCCAACCCAACGTCCGATGACAGCTTCGAGGACGCCCACGACAAGACGTTCCTCGAGCCCCGAGCTGGCTTAGCAGCCCCGTCCCACCCGACCGGGGGAAATGGAGAATCTGCAGGCTGAGACCACATTGTCTCATGCCGAGGCGGAACACCCACATGGTGTACCGACCTCTACGGACTCAACAGAAGGACTTCAACTGAGCTCACAGAAAGCTCAGGAGTCGGTAACGACTACGAAAGTCACCGACGCCGGACACATCACCTAACCAGACGGATGACGTGAAGAGGTCGACATCGCCCAACTCGGGTAGAGCGACTTCACCGACCTCGAAGGTCGGAGAGAAGCAACCGATAACGGAAATCGGTCAAGTCCAACCGACCACAGAAGTCGGTAGGGCTTCACCAACCTCTAAGGACGGTCAACGGAAACCGACCTCGGGGGTCGGTTATCCTCAACCGGAGGTCGGACCTCATCTGACAACGCAAGTCGGAATTGAGGTCGGAAGACTACAGCAATCACCAACCAAGGAAGTTGGCCAAGTCCAACCGACAACAGAAGTCGGGAGGATTTCGCCGACCAAGAAGAATGGAAGTCCACCGACCAAGGAGGTTGGTCAACAGAAGCCGCCTACTGAGGTCGGACCTCACCCGACAACACAAGCCGGAACTGAGGTCGGACTACTTCCACCGACCAAGGTCGGCCAACAAAGGCAGACCATGGAGGTCGGACCTCGTTCGACAACACAAGTCGGAACTGAGGTCGGGCAACTTCCACCGACCTCAGAGGTCGGACAACAGCAAGTCGGTCAAGTACAACCCACCTCCCTGGAAAAGAAGCCAGTCGATACAAGGTCGGATATGGACATCCAGTGGCCTAAACTACCGGCCAAAACGGGAGAAACTGAGGCCCCGCCACGAAGCGGACCTCACCCGGCTGGATCACCAACCAACATACCTATGCCTAACGAAAAGGCTATTTCACCGTTAAGTCGACCTTCGCCAACGGAAGGCAGGTCGACCCGAGTAACAGAAGCTCAACCGAAGGTGAAGTCGGACAAGTCGTCAACAAGTCGACCGGTCGACCTACTGAAGAAACGGTCGCCACTTATGTTCGAACTTGGCGACTCGGGTAGTGGAACACCACCACCCATGGACGACGTATTTGACACGACACAAGTGTCACGTCCCAGCAGCAGGGATGGATTCTTCCGAACGCCAGTGGCACCCCACTTGGGTAACCACAGGTACCAAGCTAGTACGCTTGAGTACACGGCACGAAAGTGGATCGCATCCACACCTCCAGAAAAGATCGAAGACGTCGATCGACTCAGGAAACGATGCCAGGATCTGATAACTCAAATCGTCCTGGCCGACCAAATCGTTAACTCCACAGAAAGTCAGATGTCACGATCGGAGGACACCCATAAACTCGAACGGAGGCGATGGGAAAAAGAACTCGCTGACGCCAACAAAGGCATAGCCGCTCAACAGTGCCGGATAGAACATCTGGAGAGTCACCTCAAGAGGTCCGACAACCCATGTCGGTACGACTTCGAAGAGGTCGAGCGACTCAAGAGTACACTCGCGACATCTATGGAGTCAATCTTGAATTGAAGACGGCTCCACGCTGTGGAAAAGACATGGCTGACACACAAGCAGCCTTGGTCGAATCGGAACTGGCAGCAGGAAAATTCCACCAACAGCTTAATCAAGCCAACGAAGAGGCTGAAGTGTACCGGAAGGAGGTCGACCGATACATGGTCGAACTCAAGCAGGCCGACGACGAGGTCGACCGGCAAAGACACCGAAT